CTAGGTTGTCAGACGAAATTAGATAGTTAGTCTTATAGCAACACATTTCCTAGCCTATGCAGTTTCTAATCTACCAACATCCTATTCTATTCTAAGAGGATTCACTAGCATTATTGCTTTCACTGTCATCACTACTGCTATCAGAATCCCAACCAGTAGACCATTGGGATAAAGGGGCTTGTTTCAGTAGCGGGTCAGTGCGCCCATAACCCCCCAGGCGAACGCGCCTGTAACCCCCCCTAGGATCGATCGGGGATCTCACAGTGTAGCTCTACTGACACCCCCCCACACTGGGAGGCCCAGGACTAAGCATAGCGGCACCGGCCTACATGTGCATACACCGGGAATCGAACCCGAGACCGCTCTGATACCATGTCAGAATCCCAACCACTAGACCATTGGGATAAAAGGGCTTGTTTCAGTAGCGGGTCAGTGCGCCCATAACCCCCCAGGCGAACGCGCCTGTAACCCCCCCTAGGATCGATCGGGGATCTCACAGTGTAGCTCTACTGACAACTGCCACTATCATCATCACTACCACTGCCACTCTTAGAGGTTTCAACAATTGTGGCTCTGTTTTTGCCCTTCCTCCAGGTAGGCAGTTCCCATGCAGCTTCTTCTGCATCCCTCTCTCTCTCCCTTGTTGCAGCCTCTTCTGCCTCTTCCTGTGCGCGTGTAGCTGCTGCTGCTGCTTCTGATGCTGCAGCGCGTTTCTTCAACTGATGGGACCGCCGTCGCTTCACAGGGCGTGATCCTTCAATCATGACCACCTCATGCGCCGGCCGCCTCTTTTTGCCGCCATAAAACCTATCCACCAGCTCCTCTATATTCAGCTCGTAGTCCAGAAGAGACACCGTCATCAGGTCGCCCAGAGTCGTGCCGCACAAGCTGCCGCGCACCCAGCTCTTAATGATGTTCTGACGGCTGAAGCCGCGCTCACACTCAACAGTGCTGAGCGGTAGCACAGCAACAGCAATCCACAGGCGGCCGAGGTTCGGATAGGCAGACTCCCAATCTGGCGTTGAGAGCACCTGAGAGAGGCTGTCGTGGAAGGACAGGTCCTCGTGGTGAGTGGAGAGGATTGTGGTGAAGCTGGTGAGCTCTTTGGCGGCTTTGCCCCAGTCGACACCTGATGGGGAGGGTAGGGAAGGGTGAGGGACATCGGGTATCACAGCAGAGAGTACATTAAGGCACGGCAGCAATAACAGTTACATTAATGATACGCTCACCCCAAAGCAAAGCGCTTACCAAGGAGGGTGTCTGGATGGCTGGGCTTCTTCTTGAACAGGTTGCGCAGCGACTGAAGCCATTCGGGAAATCGGCGCGCTCTCTTAACGCGCGAACGAGGGTACCGTCCCTGCCGAAACAGACGACTCCCGTCCAACGACTTTAGACTCTTCATGCGATCGTCGATGTAAAACACGGTCCTCCCAGCGAACTTGGATGCCGCCTCCACGCACGACGCCAGGTCGCCCCCAAACTTCTCCTTCCCGATGAAGTCCTCGTGCAGCACGTACGAGTGAGTTACGGGTGTTCCGACGCCGTCAATGCTTTCCAACTTCACCTCCCGATTCTCGGTGCTCCCGTGGTTCTTCAGAAACGTCGCTAGACGACCACTGTTGTCGCCGAAGGTGGAGCCGTACTCCACGTAGCGACTTGTCAAGCACAGGGTGGTGTGTTGCACCATCGACCGAACCTACGTCGCATCGAGCTGCACATTTCACACAAACATAATTAGTCACAGCACGGAAAGCCAGGGGGAAATCAGGCAAGACATCGGGAATCACGCGTCCTTACTTGACGTCGCTGGAACTTGAGATTGAGACTGTTCAGCTCCTGAAGCACGTCAACCAGAAAGAAAAGGAAGAACTGAAATTTCACACTGGTAACAAGAGTGTACGTTGCCTTGTCGTACTCGTGCAGCAGGACAACGGCAGCAGGCAGCACGTCAGCAAAGCGCTCGATGGCGTCACCGCGTGAAAGCCAGCGAACGTCTTTAATCCCTTGCATCTCCAGGTTGGTCTGTGTAATCAGTTCCTGCAGATTCTTGAATCGCGCATGCTGCACGATGCTGCGGCCGAGAATGTCCGCAAAGGCCCGGACGACTTTGCCGACGACGTTAAACTCGGGGAACTCTTCAGCAGCATCTTTAGCAGCCAGAGCCTCCCTGCAGTTGTAACAAGAGTAGGATTAGTGGGCGAGTTACACAACACAAAAATAAACACAATGATAAACTACCTGTGGGCAACGCAATGGCAAGGCACTATGTGCGGCACCCGTGTTCGTAATCGCGCCACCAGACCTGTCTGCCCGCCCGTCATAACGCTCGCGCCGTCCGTGGTCATGCCGCTGATCCTCTGCAGTTCGAGGCCGCAAGCAGCAAAGTGTGTCAGCAGGACGGCCTCCAGCGACCCAGCGTCGCACTTCTCAACGGACAAGTTGGCGAAGAACTCGGTAACCACCATCGTGCCACGGAGAAACGTGGCATACACAATCATGTGTTTGCCACGCCTACGGTCGGTGCATTCGTCAAGTTGAAGGCCAACGTAGGGACTGAGGCTGATGTGTTGCATCTGCTTCGCTTTCAAGTAGCACACCAGCGCCTCGACCAACTGCTTGAAACCGTACCTGCGTCAAAGAGTACAACAAAGAATTAGTGAATAAGGGGTGTTTAAATACAACATTGATGTGAACAGGCTAAACTTACGTAGAACAATAAGTCCCTTGGTCCTTCGCCGGCATGTCTGGCGTTCCCATCTCTGCCATAAACGGCACGAGTGTCATGAACATGACAATGGGGGTGTCGGATTTGCATAGGAAACGCACAGTCAACAACAGCTTTATCAACCGCCGCGTTTCCGCACTCTTATCTCCAAAGTTGGAGATAGCTGCCTGCTTCTTCTGCGGGCCTTCACGCTGCTCCAACCGTCCCTTCGCCTCCCAGTGCCGGATGCTCCACTGATGTTTCCGCATCGTTTGCTTCTGTATGTCGATGCCGCCCTCGCCCCGAGCGCTGTACTGTGACTCAGGATCTGCGTATACCATGCAGATCTTGCACCGCATGCAAGGTTGACCTTCGGATGTGTCACCGATGATGAGCCAAGGGAAGTGGCGGTTCCACTGCTGTTTGGCTTTCAGCTGCAGCTCCTCTAGCGTCAAAATCCGGGGACCGGTCTTCTCTGCTCCACGGCTCTCCCCGCCATCTTTCTCAGTAGTGGGATTCCCTGTAGAGGAAGGGCTAGGGCGCTTCGAAAATGAAAGCTTATGTTGCACATATTTAGTCTTGCCAGGAAAACGTGGCGGAAGGAACGGGGAGCGGGATTGAAGGGATTCTTTTCACCAGGTGATGCAGATGCGCCAGGTTGACCGGATGACGACGAACCCTCAGGGTGACTTGTTGAGCTTGGTGATCGTACGGGTGAAAATGGTATTAGCGGCACGGCATCCATCTCAGCGAAAGGGTAAGGGTGCTCGGGAGAATCGGGTTTCCCATTCTCACAGACCGAAGGAGCAATAGGAGCAGCTGTGACTGGAGTAGGTGTGAAACCCCCACCGGTTAGGAAATCCAAGCCAGTGCGTGGGCGTGGCAATGCACTGGAAGGAGGTGAATCATGCAGAGTGGATGCTGGAGGGGCCTCCGTGCGAGGGTCTACAGCCATCTTGGTGGAACTACAAACTGACTAACTCTGGCTCACGAGGGTAAGATGAAGGACACCTGACGCAGAGGGGAGTGAGGGGGGACCGTCCGAACCGTGCCGCATGCAGGAACGTCTCGTTCGCTGCTGGAAGCAGCCATGCCATCAATCCCTTGCTGACCCGATGCGCACTGAAGGCTGTCGGTGTTGCAACTGCAGCCTTCTGCTGTGCGCTGGCACGAATATGCCAAACGAACTGGCAAGATTCGTGCCAGCGGGGTGACTGCGGCGCATTTGACGTGCGGTGTTGTCACCGACCAAAGGCAATGTACAGCCTGGCGGTGGCAGCACGGTAACGCGGCGGGTGGCAAGTCTCGTCCGTAACATTGGGCATCAAGCTATGTGGCCAACTAGCCAGGTGGGCAACTGGCCAGGTGGGGGGATTTGTCTGTTTCAGACGAGAAAAAACTCGTTGTCTGCAATCTCAGACGAACTGTATAAGGCTGTCTGAGAAATCAGACGAATTTGAAAACTCTGTCCTAAACCATCAGAAGAAATTAAACAGGTCGTCTACGACATCAGATGAAGTAGTAAAAAAATGTTCAAAATCCAGAAAATCAGACCTAAATTTTCTGATAAAGTAAGCCCTGATGCTAAATACACACAACGACAGGTGCTGTAAACGACCTAAGGTGGCTTGCACAGGCGCATGCCCTTGTACAAGCGGTTGTTTGTACACACATAACCCGAATTGTATTGCGCCATTAGTCTTGACGAGCTCTTAAAGTAGAGAGCAATGATGCGCGCACATGTGTCTCCCGTCACAACCGTGTACTGCAGGTTTGTCACACATCGAGAAGCTCCGAGTAGCATACTTGATCTGCCACCACGCACACACACCTGCACACAGATCCAATGAAATGGGGGACATGAAAGAGTTGGGGAGAATTGGGGATGGGGAAAGATGGCGTGCGGGGAGGGATGGGGGTGGAGGAAAGGGAAGCTCCATTCATTTCTGATATCATGTAGCACCTCCACTGGGTATACCCTTTGGTAGACTGAAAGTGTACACTGAGCATGAATCAGCAGAAAAACGGCGACGAAAGGCAAAGAGCCCCTCCCAGAGCCCCTCCCAGATTTGCAGAGATATGGCTATGGCCACAAACGCCAGAGCGTCCTTTTCCAGGGTAAGGGTGAAAGGCATAGGGGATTGGGGGAAGGATGTAATCGTAACTGCTATGCACGCAACACAAGGCCAAGAGTAGTGGCAGGAGCTGTGCATGAGAAGGGCCTTTCTTGTTGGCCTAGAAGCACTTGCTCCCCAACATCGCCTCAAAAGTCGCCTCGTTACCCACAATTCTTTACCTGTTGGCCTAGCAGCATCTGTTCGCCCACGTTGCAGTTGATCCCTGGGTTCAATGTGTAGAACTCCTGTGCGCTCAGAGGGGGGCGTGCAGCCCTCATTATAGTGTCGCAGCTGTCGCCCTCCGCTACAGTCACAAACTCCTGGCACGCTGGCATATCTGGAGTGCCATGCGCCATGCACACCTGCACGGACACGAAACACAGTTCATTAATAACAAAGAGAAAGCAGCAGGCGTTAGCACAGACTCCAGGGATACTGAAAAGCACAGACTCAAGGTTATGTCGCCTTGCACCATCTAAGCTCAGTCGTACGTGCTGACCAACCTGCAGCCATAAAAAATGCTGGTCGCCATTCCGCTGGAGGGGAACTGCGACAGACATGCTGTGATCTGAACCCATGCTCTCACACGTGATTGATGCAGCCATGCTCTCACACATGATTGATGCAGCCATGCTCTCACACATGATTGATGCAGCCATGCTCTCACACATGAATGATGCAGCCATGCTCTCACACATGAATGATGCAGCCATGCTCTCACACATGATTGATGCAGCCATGCTCTCACACATGATTGATGCAGCCATGCTCTCACACATGATTGATGCAGCCATGCTCTCACACATGAATGATGCAGCCATGCTCTCACACATGATTGATGCAGCCATGCTCTCACACATGATTGATGCAGCCATGCTCTCACACATGAATGATGCAGCCATGCTCTCACACATGAATGATGCAGCCATGCTCTCACACATGAATGATGCAGCCATGCTCTCACACATGAATGATGCAGCCGTGCTCTCACACATGAATGATGCAGCCATGCTCTCACACATGATTGATGCAGCCATGCTCTCACACATGATTGATGCAGCCATGCTCTCACACATGATTGATGCAGCCATGCTCTCACACATGATTGATGCAGCCATGCTCTCACACATGAATGATGCAGCCATGCTCTCACACATGAATGATGCAGCCATGCTCTCACACATGATTGATGCAGCCATGCTCTCACACATGATTGATGCAGCCATGCTCTCACACATGATTGATGCAGCCATGCTCTCACACATGATTGATGCAGCCATGCTCTCACACATGAATGATGCAGCCATGCTCTCACACATGAATGATGCAGCCGTGCTCTCACACATGAATGATGCAGCCGTGCTCTCACACATGAATGATGCAGCCATGCTCTCACACATGATTGATGCAGCCATGCTCTCACACATGATTGATGCAGCCATGCTCTCACACATGATTGATGCAGCCATGCTCTCACACATGATTGATGCAGCCATGCTCTCACACATGATTGATGCAGCCATGCTCTCACACATGATTGATGCAGCCATGCTCTCACACATGAATGATGCAGCCATGCTCTCACACATGAATGATGCAGCCATGCTCTCACACATGATTGATGCAGCCATGCTCTCACACATGAATGATGCAGCCGTGCTCTCACACATGAATGATGCAGCCATGCTCTCACACATGATTGATGCAGCCATGCTCTCACACATGATTGATGCAGCCATGCTCTCACACATGATTGATGCAGCCATGCTCTCACACATGATTGATGCAGCCATGCTCTCACACATGAATGATGCAGCCATGCTCTCACACATGATTGATGCAGCCATGCTCTCACACATGATTGATGCAGCCATGCTCTCACACATGATTGATGCAGCCATGCTCTCACACATGATTGATGCAGCCATGCTCTCACACATGAATGATGCAGCCATGCTCTCACACATGAATGATGCAGCCATGCTCTCACACATGAATGATGCAGCCATGCTCTCACACATGAATGATGCAGCCGTGCTCTCACACATGAATGATGCAGCCATGCTCTCACACATGATTGATGCAGCCATGCTCTCACACATGATTGATGCAGCCATGCTCTCACACATGATTGATGCAGCCATGCTCTCACACATGATTGATGCAGCCATGCTCTCACACATGAATGATGCAGCCATGCTCTCACACATGATTGATGCAGCCATGCTCTCACACATGAATGATGCAGCCATGCTCTCACACATGATTGATGCAGCCATGCTCTCACACATGATTGATGCAGCCATGCTCTCACACATGATTGATGCAGCCATGCTCTCACACATGATTGATGCAGCCATGCTCTCACACATGATTGATGCAGCCATGCTCTCACACATGAATGATGCAGCCATGCTCTCACACATGAATGATGCAGCCATGCTCTCACACATGAATGATGCAGCCGTGCTCTCACACATGATTGATGCAGCCATGCTCTCACACATGATTGATGCAGCCATGCTCTCACACATGATTGATGCAGCCATGCTCTCACACATGAATGATGCAGCCATGCTCTCACACATGAATGATGCAGCCATGCTCTCACACATGAATGATGCAGCCATGCTCTCACACATGAATGATGCAGCCATGCTCTCACACATGAATGATGCAGCCATGCTCTCACACATGAATGATGCAGCCATGCTCTCACACATGATTGATGCAGCCATGCTCTCACACATGATTGATGCAGCCATGCTCTCACACATGAATGATGCAGCCATGCTCTCACACATGAATGATGCAGCCGTGCTCTCACACATGAATGATGCAGCCATGCTCTCACACATGAATGATGCAGCCATGCTCTCACACATGAATGATGCAGCCATGCTCTCACACATGATTGATGCAGCCATGCTCTCACACATGATTGATGCAGCCATGCTCTCACACATGAATGATGCAGCCATGCTCTCACACATGATTGATGCAGCCATGCTCTCACACATGAATGATGCAGCCATGCTCTCACACATGAATGATGCAGCCATGCTCTCACACATGATTGATGCAGCCATGCTCTCACACATGATTGATGCAGCCATGCTCTCACACATGATTGATGCAGCCATGCTCTCACACATGATTGATGCAGCCATGCTCTCACACATGAATGATGCAGCCATGCTCTCACACATGATTGATGCAGCCATGCTCTCACACATGAATGATGCAGCCATGCTCTCACACATGAATGATGCAGCCATGCTCTCACACATGATTGATGCAGCCATGCTCTCACACATGATTGATGCAGCCATGCTCTCACACATGATTGATGCAGCCATGCTCTCACACATGATTGATGCAGCCATGCTCTCACACATGATTGATGCAGCCATGCGAGAGCACCCATGCTCACACATGCCTTGAGCACACATGCTCTCACACATGCCTTGAGCACCCATGCTCTCACACATGCCTTGAGCACCCATGCTCTCACACATGATTGATGCAGCCATGCTCTCACACATGAATGATGCAGCCATGCTCTCACACATGAATGATGCAGCCATGCTCTCACACATGAATGATGCAGCCATGCTCTCACACATGAATGATGCAGCCATGCTCTCACACATGAATGATGCAGCCATGCTCTCACACATGAATGATGCAGCCATGCTCTCACACATGAATGATGCAGCCATGCTCTCACACATGAATGATGCAGCCATGCTCTCACACATGATTGATGCAGCCATGCGAGAGCACCCATGCTCACACATGCCTTGAGCACACATGCTCTCACACATGCCTTGAGCACCCATGCTCTCACACATGCCTTGAGCACCCATGCTCTCACACATGCCTAAATCACCCATGCTCTCACATGCCTTGAGCACCCATGCTCGCACATGCCTTGAGCAACTATACTACCTACCATACATGTCTCCCAACTGTTGGCCAGGCTGCAGCATTCCACGCGGCAAGTCGTCATTCAGCTTGAGGAATTGTGAGCGAGTCATGCTGAATGCTGCTGTTATGCCCTCACACAACCCTGAACAGCCACCCTCTCACACATGCCTTGAGCCTGCCATCCCCACCTGTTGCCCCGCCTTTAGCCGTCCACACGGCAGGTCGTCGTTCAGCTTGAGGAATTCCGAGCGAGTCATGCTGAATGCTGCTGCAATGCTCTCACACGTGTCATCCTGCCATTGGTCGCACGCACAGAAGCGAATGGCGTGAGGGATCCCTAACCAGCAGAAACCAGCTGTGTCAGACTGCCGATCGAGCAAGCATCTCCGCAAGCATGGCAAGGCTTGTGAGGCGCCTCAACAGAAGCAAACGGCGTGAGGGATCCCTAACCAGCATAAGGGATCAAGCGTGCATCTCTACAAGCACGGATTGAGCATTTCAGCATCAAGTATAGCTAATGCGGATCAAGTGCGGCGAACTGATGTTCTGTGGGATCACAGTAGTGATAGTATAGGGAGTAATCTTGAGCTTACGACAGTGACAGTAGAGAGAGTGGCCTTGGACTTACAGCGGTGACAGTATAGGGAGTGGCGCACAGGGTGCCATCGCTGACATAAATATCGTCTCCAATTGCAAGGCTGGAGCAGTTGAGCTTCTGGGGGTGGGGGAAAGAGAGGGGCAAACAAGAAGGGCGACTGAGGCAGGGGCAGTATAGGGAGTTCTGCACAGGGTGTCATCGCTGACGTTAATGTCATCCCCAATTGCAAGGCTTGAGCAATTGAGCTTCTGGAGATTCCATCCACACGAGGGAGCGGACAAGGAGGGTGGGGAAGGGGGGGCACACACAAGGAGGAAGACTAGACTCGTGAACAGTTGCACGGGGCTGGACAGAGGGAGAGCCGTGTTTTGAGTCGACTCAAAACACGGCTCATTCTGAGTCGACTCAAAACACGGCTCATTCTGGGTCGACTCAAAACACGGCTCATTCTGAGTCGACTCAAAACACGGCTCATTCTGAGTCGACTCAAAACACGGCTCATTCTGAGTCGACTCAAAACACGCTCATTCTGAGTCGACTCAAAACACGGCTCATTCTGAGTCAACTCAAAACACGGCTCATTCTGAGTCGACTCAAAACACGGCTCATTCTGAGTCGACTCAAAACACGGCTCATTCTGAGTCGACTCAAAACACGGCTCATTCTGAGTCGACTCAAAACACGGCTCATTCTGAGTCGACTCAAAACACAGCTCATTCTGAGTCGACTCAAAACACGGCTCATTCTGAGTCGACTCAAAACACGGATCATTCTGAGTCGACTCAAAACACGGCTCATTCTGAGTCGACTCAGAACACGGGGGCACACACAAGCAGGAAGACCAGACTCATGAATGGTTGCTCGGGGCTGGACAGAGGGAGAGAGAGCAGCATCAGTACAACCACAGCTTGAGAGAGCAGTTTCACGCGGTGCGATTGTGTGATGGTGCGCGACGTGGGCGGAAGCTATGTGGTGATGGTGTTGCGAGGCACTAGTGGCGAACGCACATTGACGCGTGATGCAGGTTGATTCACCAACTAGTGGGTGAGCACCGACCATTTGATACCGGTTGAGTTCAGCCCACCGGGCTAAGCTGAGTGAAGATGGCCGCCAATCATGAGGCGCCTAAAAAATACACTAGCGGCAAAGGCACAGCGATGCCTGGTGGCGTCTTGCGGCTTCTGAATCACCCACAGGGTTAAGCTGAGTGAAGTTGGCCTCTGACATGCCAAATGTGGACCGCACACTGTGTGATGCTCGTGCGGCAAGGCACTAGTGGCAGAGACACATTGATAAGTGGTGGCACTAGTGGGTGGCGGCTTGCTTTGAGCGCACCGGATTGAGCAGAGTGAAATTGGCCTCTGACATGCCAAATGTCGACCGCACAGTGTCACATGTCAGCCCTGGCACCACGTGGACCTCTGAGGGAGTGACACCTGGCATGGAAGGAGAGGAGGGAGGGGTGGGTCACATGAATGTAAGTAGAACCATGATCTCCAAGCCTTTGACATGGTAACATCTTGTGCGGTGAGAAGAAACGAGCAGGAACGAGAGCATTACCTGGCACGAGAGCAGTACCTGGCACGCAGACAGGGGTTTCATCAGGTCTCTCGTCCGTCACAAAGCCCAGCGGACACAGGAATTTGTAGCCTCCTGCGCCATCATCCAGGCCTACCTTTCCCTGGTACACACAGAGGGGTTTCTGGCCTAGCTGTACATAGTAGGGTTTTGCACGTGAGAAGAAGCGAGCAGTACCCACCTGGCACGCAGACTGGGGTTTCATTGGGTCGCTCATCGGCCACAAACCCTGGTGGACACAGACAATTGTAGCCGCCCGCCCCGTCATCGAGACACGTGCCCACCTGGCATGGGTTGGCTGCTGACATGGCGCACACGTGGACTGGCAGAGGGAGGGGTGGGAGGCAAGAAAGAGAAGGCAGATGGGGAGGAAAGAAAAGGGAGAAAGATGGAGAGGGGAATGGGGTGGACGGGAGAATCTCGAGGAAAGAGGGTAGAGGGGAGAGGAGGCAGCAAATTTAGTGCTGTCATTCCATTAGAGGGAGAAACTGTATGCTATATTGATTTCCTTTAGTGAACACAGTTCACATGTGCATGTATATTATTGCACAAATTTTGAGTGAATTTATTGCTGCCATATTGACTAAATGCACATGTGAACTGGCAAGATGGTGGGAAAGGGGAATGCATGTCTTGTTAAAACCCTGATGTCTTCCATGCGTATTGATTAAGGAGGGGGGATTGTGGTTGTTGCTACCGTCTAGCATGTCTTGCTACCATTCTCTTCCTGCTCACCGGGAATGCATGTCTAAGACCCATCGATGTTCCTGGCAGTGCTGAACCCAGGTGCACACACACACTTGCTAGAAGAGAGTCAGGGGCAGAGAGGCGGGATTTGTGGGTTGTGTTACCTAACGTACACTTCTCTTTCTGCTCACCCGGAATGCATGTCTCGGACCCATCAATATTCTTGGCAGTGGTGAACCCAGGCGCACACGTGCACTTGCTCTTCCCCGCGCGGTTGCTGCACTTGCCGCTGCCACACGGGTTGATGGGTTGACACGGGTGCGAGCCTGCCACCACTGGGTATAAGGCAGGAGTGGTGTTGATGCCGCAGATGCCGTTGCCTGTGTCTGGGGGTTGGGGGGGATGGAGGGAGGGACAAACTTTGAGGCGCCTCAGGCCTTGCCGCTTCCACACGAATTGATGCACTGACAGGGTGTGATTCACAGGCAGGACTGCTGTTGATGCCACATATGCCATCGCCTCTGTGTGGAGGGTGGGGGGGAGTGGAGAGATGGATAGGGATAAGGTATGGGCAATGAGAGTTGGGTGGTGCTTGTGGGGTCTTTTAGGTGGTAGGGGTGACTGGACTGGACCTCAGTCTGGCCTAGCAAAACTTTTATAAAAATAAGTTCAGATTATGAGAGAGTTTTTCTTCATCATGCCTTGCAACACACACCACTGACAACAACCCCCGGATATGACAGGGAATCACTTGGGCTATTTTGTGTCCATTTTCTTCAATGCGAGAACTTACTAATGCAACCAGAGGAGACGAGCACCTGCTTCAATAGCCATTTGCATGAGACCGCCCTTGCCCCAGGTGGATCCCCAGGTGTTCAAAGAAGCAAAGTATACGTCGCTTCGTTTTGTTCTACACAAAAAATAACCACAAAAACCAGAGGAAAAAGGTACCTGCTTCGATGGCCATCTGCATGAAGCCGTCCTCGCCCCAGGTGGATCCCCAGGTGTTTTGGAGGATAAAGTAGGGCGTCACTCCCACCGTGCTGTACCCCACCAGCAGCACTATGTGATTCACCACTCCATTCGCGAAGCAATCTGGATCCGCGTAAACGAAGCCCTGAAGGGTGTGGAGTTGAAGAGGAGCGAGATAAGAAGGCCGTACCAACATAAAGTTTCTAAAGTCGACTCCAACGCAATCTGAATCCACGCAAACGAAGCCCTGAAGAGTGTGGAGTTGAAGGAGGGCGAGAGCAAAAAGAGGTCTGATCGACACAATGAACCCCTGGAAACATCTTACGTCCAAGGTCTTACGATTATTTAGGCTCCTAAAAAAAACTGATCCACACAATGAACCCCTGGGAACATTTTACTTCAAAAGGTCTTACGACTCCCACTGCCTTGATTCTTTTCCCCACTCGTTACGTTTACCTTCCCCGCACGATGCTACCCTCCTGTTCTTCCCCATGCATAGTCTGTTCTTTCTGATGTGGTAGCTCGTGAGGAGCATCATCCTGCACGATGCTAACCCCGTCCTTCACACACTAGTACATTCTGGACAGCTCTAAAGATATTGCACCACTTACAACTTGTCCTCGCTCAATCGCTTACAACTTCGCCACTAACTCACCACCTGGTAGTTGACAGGGGAGAGCTGTTCTGCCTCCTCGTTGACTTTTGAGTCGACTCAAAAGACAACTTATTCCTCTCTCAGTTCAAAGTATTGAGACAACTCACCCCCTGGTAGTTGATAAAGGAGAGTTGATCCGCCTCCACGTTGGCAATGATTGGCTGCGCCTGCAGCGCCAGCACCATTCCCAGCCAACCGGGGATCGACACCTGTCACTCACAGTGGCAGCACACGAAGAGGCACCGGAGCAGCACAGGTAAGTGAGGAGATGTGTGATGAAACACTACAGATGGGTCGAGTGCGGTGACAGGGGGTTCAAATCTATTGACCCACGTCTACAAGTTTATCGAGCGCACCTGTTCGAACATGGAGATGGAGAAGCGGCCAGAGAGGGGGTGGATGCCGGGCGGTTGAGGTGGAAAGGCAGGGGGAGGAGGGGAGGAGGACGGGGGAACCGAGGTGGTGGGGGGCAGCTTGGGCGGCTGGGTTGGTCTTCGGAGCCGGTGGAAGAGTTGGGAGAAGAGGGAGGAGAGGGAGGGGGAGAAGTGCGTGTGCTTGTCGTCGTCGTCTTCATTCTTCGTAATTGGAGTTGAGGCTGCTGGCGTTCGGCCTGCTGACGTGGATGCTGACATGGATGCTGATGTGGGCACCGCACGCGCAGCTGCCGCCCGAACCATAGCCTGCCGGCCTCTGCCAGCAGCAACAGGTTTGGAAGGTGACCGCACTCCCCTCGTTCGTGATTTGGCAGGCCTGGCAGGAGGTCCGGCAGCAGGCTTGGTGGCTTGCGCTGCAGCCTTCTTACTCTGCAGCTTCCATGGCCCGGAAGCTGGCCCGGTGGGAGGTGCGGATAGAGCCTTGGTGGGAGGTTTGGTGGTAGGCTTGACAGCTGCAGGTTGTGGTTTGGACTCACGTGAGTTGCGCTTGGCAGCAGCTGCAGGCTTCGAACTTGCTGGGAGAAGCTGAAGGGGGAGGGACGGGCAGGAGAAAGAGGGCAAGGAGAGGCCAAAGGCAGGTGGCTCCTCATTTCCTCTCTAAGCAGGAAGCAAATTTCCGTAATCAATGCTTTCAGAGTGTGCCCAGGAGGACCAACATTAACTTGCACACACATGCCCACCTTGCAGTCACTCGCGTTCACCACTCCCGAATACGGCACTGCTTTCTCCGGCGATACCCCTCCCACAGCAGCCACAAACTGGAACGCGTCCGCCGGGATGCCACCTGTGCACTGCCACGTGCCCTGACAGCTCAGCACTTGTTGACTGGACAGGTTGGGATGGTTGGCGCCGTATGCTATTGCATAGGCTGCCTCTATTGCTGCTACCGGCACCAGAGCCCAGCAGGCAGCTGATTGGGGGAGGGGTGCGGGTTGGAGAGGGGAGTGGATATACTGAAGAGAAAGAACGGCGGAATAGTTAGCATGCATGCGTAGGAGCGCATTCAATTGACGCCATTGCTTCCTTTAAACCGCTTCATTGCATCTTAAGTCACCAGCACCAGAGCTACACCATTTGTATCCTTTCTTGGCTATTCACACCGTCCACTCCTTCACTGCTCATCTACCCTTCCCCACCACCCAACTCCCCATCACTCTCACCACCCGAACCTCACCACTCACCTCCCCTCCTTCATCGCCCACCTCCCCTCCTTCACCACTCACCTCCCCTCTTTCACTCACCACTCACCGCACAAGCCCTGGAGTTCCATCAAAACGTTCTAAAGTGACTCAAACTACCCAAACCAGAGGTGCACCATTCACATCACATTCTAGCTATTCAAAACCCGGTGACCCCTCCCTCACCACTCACCGCACAAGCCTTGGTCTTTTCACAAGAGACACCACCGTCACGCTGCGCCCGTGCACCGTGCACGAGCACCACCCCCCGCCAGTCCACCGCCTCTCGGCACTCCCAAGGGGGCTGCGGGGCCGTGCCGTTGAACCCCAGGCTGACGTGCTTCCATCAATCCGTTTCAAGCGACTCGCACCACCGCCACCAGAGCCGTCACACCCCATTCTAGCAATTGACACACTCGCATTCGCTCCCTCACCACTCACCGCACAAGCCTTGGTCTTTCACCGGAGGAACCACCGTCACATTCCTCCCTCGTACTAGCACCAGCCCGCGCCAGTCTACCGCCTCTCTGCATGCCCAAGAGGGTTGGGCAGCAGTGCCGTTGAACCCCAGGCTGACGTGGCGGAAGAAGCGGTTAAAGCGCGAGGGGGTGGTTGCCGGCACGGCCTTGAAGTCCCGGTCTCTCAACCCCGGCCGGTGGCGCTGCTTCTGTGGGTCGTCTGAGGGGGAGGGGGGAAGCGATACGAGGAGAAAGGGTGTTTCTAGCACGGCCTTGAAGTCCCGGTCCCTCAACCCCGGCCGGTGGCGCTACTTCTGTGGGTCGTCTGCATGAGGAGAAAGGCGAGATGGGGAGAAAGAAAGGGAGCTGACACCTGAGTCAGTTTGATCGTGATAAGGGGTGGTTGCACGCATGGCCTTCAAGTCCCTGTCGCTGAACCCGGTGTTGTGGCATGGCACTCCTTGAGTGGGATGTCTGAGCGGAGGGAACAGGAGAGATGGGGAGCAGGGAAAGTCACACACAAACACAGACACACTCGCACACACACGCACACAGACGCACACACAGACTCACACGCGCACACAAACACACACACACACACTCACACACACACGCACGCACGCACCCACCCACACCCACACACACACACACACGCGCGCGCGCGCGCGCACACACACACACACGCACGCACGTACGCACGAAAGCACGCACGCATGCACGCACGCACGCACACGCACACACACACACACACACACACACACACACACACACACACACACACACACACACAGGGACACACATCACGGCTTACCTCCATCCAATGGTATGTCTGGTGGAAAGGGAGGAGGCGGATTCTCAGGCTTGGTCGCCGAACAAGTAGGGTAACCACCCCCTTTTGACTCCACCGTATCCTCATAATACCCCTCCTCACACTCACACACGGGCACTCTTGAGGGCCCCTTGAGAAAGCACCTCCCGTGCCCTCCACACACTCCTTGGACACTACCTACCCCACAAAACGCCAAACACCCCCCCTGCTTCCGCTGCCTCCCGTCCCCCTCGCACCCCCCCCCTCCTCTCGGGTTGAGGCAGTTTCCTCGCACTGAACCGTACTGAGACGGGCTATAAGGGAGCAGATTCGCTGCTGCGAACCCTCCCTGCTGGTCCTCCGGGCAGAAGGAAAGCTTTCCAGCCGAGATTTCGGCACGGGCAGACCCTGTGAAGAAGTTTTTTTCGACGTTGAAAGTGGCGAGAGGGTGAGAGGCGAGGGAGGGGGAAGCGAAACCCGAAGGGAGGGGACCAGCGAACTCGTTATTGGATATGTCCCTGTTAGGGAAATGCGGGCAAGGGAGGGGTGGGGAGGAGCTGTTTGTTTATCGGATTTCCCAAAACCAAAACCAGCGAACTCATTGTTTGATTGCATATGTCCCTGTGAGGGGGAACGGGAAAGGGAGGGACTTGATATTGTTTCGAAGCAACTCGTTACTGGATATGTTCGTGCGAGGGGTAAACGGAGGGAAGGGAGGCTGGAAATGGGAGTTGTGATGGCTGGAGCAGGACCGATGAATAGAACTGGAGGCAGTTTGGGGGAGAGAGGAGGTGGAGGGAGAGGAGAAGGTTGAGGAGGGGACGGAACCCAATAGGCCAGTCATTGTTACAGTGGGGGAGAGGGGTGGGGTGGAAGGGAGGGAGGGTGGGGGTGGGGGGTGGGGTTGGTTAAAGGGTTTGCAGAAATTCGTTGAGGTGGCCTTGAGGCAGATTGTCAGTTGTTGAAAAACGGGTGTTTTTTTAGAAAACCTTCCTATTTGAGAATCCGAACGACTGTAGTCTGTAGGCATTCGAGAACAACCATGCGAGCGCCATCCGCAGCCCACCTGTCTTCTACTGACAGCTCCTGCACCGTCCGCGCAAAGAGCATTGTGAACCGAGTGCAAGGTAGCACACGAGGCGAGCAAGAGAGAACGAAGTAAGCCTATCCAGGGTTTCGACGAGAATCTCAGCCCAACGTACAAGTAGACAAGAGTGGGCAGGTTGAAAAGTGATGGCGGCAGGTCGCCCGAAAGGCGATTCATGCTCAAGTCCCTGGAAGTGGGGGAGATGCACAGACGGATGGAGAGCCGTGCTGTGTGAGCGGGGCGGGGAGGCAGTGTTGGTGGAGCAGCTGTGCGGGAAGGAGGGAGTGCCTGTGAGGGAAGGAAGGAGTGCCTGTGAGGGAAGGAAGGAGTGCCTGTGAGGGAAGGAAGGAGTGCCTGTGAGGGAAGGAAGGAGTGCCTGTGAGGGAAGGAAGGAGTGCCTGTGGGGAAGGAAGGAGTGCCTGTGAGGGAAGGAAGGTAGTGCAAGTGGAGCAGCTGTGACGGAAGGAAGGAGTGCCTGCCAGCGGTCGCTGGGAAAGATTGATGGCTGCTGGTGCAAGGCAAAGGGACAAGAGTTAGGCGGGTGTGCGAGTTTGAGTCAGGGGATGCAAGGAAGCGAGCAGGCAGGGATAGCCTGTGCAGGAAATTAAAAGAAGCAAGCAGGTGGGGTTTGGAAGCCAAAGAAGAAGCGCCACCGATGCCGCATGGTACACACACAAATGCCTGAACGAAGAACATGCACTCAACATGTCTATCAGCCACACCACACCTCCTCTCCACCACCACATTACTGAACAATCCTGTCAATGGTTTACCACTCACTCTGTAATACACATGGTACCACGCGGTTTAAGACATTCCCTGCTAGGCACCCCACTTACAGCGCCTCAAGAGTTGTGATGCTCCCCAGCCCAGCTGGGATTGTCTCCGACAGCTCGTTGTCACTCAGAAGGCTGCGGTACAAATGCATACGGGCACAACTCAGTCCTTGAGGCATGGTCACAGTGAGTCCACCTTTGACCGTACTGCCGCAACAGACGCAGCACCAGAAATCGTCAATGCACATGCATACACATGTACACCTTCACACTACATGTGTCTGCAAGGACACGGGCGCACACACTAACGAGTACTTGATGATAAGAAGGTAGGGGTGTCTCAAAAGCAGTACAAGTGCACTTTACGCCTCACCAGAAACTAGGACTCACAGGTACTTGAGGGCTTGGAGGTTGGAGAGCGGGGCGGGAATGGGTCCTGACAGCTCGTTTCTGCCCAGAGACCTGACAGGGATTGGGGTTCGGGTTTTGGGTTTCCGGTTCAGGGTTTGAGGTTTAGGCTTTCGGGTTTGGAGTTCGGAATTTAAGTTTTGAGGTTTGAAATGAGGTATGGTGTTTCGGGTTTCAGGTTTAAGGTTTCGAGGTAGGGTTTAGCAGGGTCCTCAAAAAGCTTTTGTTAAGAACACATGCGGCCTCACATGCTGTACAATACATAGTTGCAAGCATTGTATTGGTCGTTTTTGCATCATGCTTACAATAGGGTTAGTTGGGTCAGATTCCCTATAGCATCCAGGAGAGCCCTCTACACGTGGAGCCTCACTCACATGTTGGATGTCAGTTGGTCCTAGGGTTTACAGCAGGGTCTCACATGTTATCATGTCATGCTTACAGCAGGGTTAGTTGGGTCAGGTTCCCTATAGCATCGAGCAGAGAGCCCTCTAACGAGTTTTCGTTGAGCTTTCTGAAGAAGAACGGAGGAGGGAATGGAAAGAAGGAAGGTGGAGGGGGGGGAGGGGGGGGGGGGGGGGGGGGGGGGGGGTTGATGTTGAGAGGGATTGGAGAAGTAAAAATCGTTTGGCACTTGGAAGATTAGCAGACAAAAAGAAAGGAGAACGAGACAAAGCGGTGGGGAGAAAGTTGCACTTTGGAAGTTGTGATTCACGCGATGTGGTGGAACGAGGCGATGTGAGCAAGTAATGAAGGGAACCTCTCAGACGAGTCAGACTTGCCACGGTCACTGCGAGCGATCTCGTCCCGCATGGGGCCACGTGGCGTACGCGTGGCCCCATGCGGAACGAGCGCATCAGCATTCGCTGTGGATGTGCGTGAGCGAGACCCACAGACCCACAGTTGTTGAAGCGACGTGAGCGTGAAGAGCGCGGACGGAAGCGACCCTTCCAGATTCCCGTTGCTGAGGTCCCTGTGGGGAGTTGGGGGCAGGGGCGAGGGATATGAAGGCTATTTTGAGTCGACTCAAAGTCATCATGTCGAAGCGACATGAGCGTGAAGAGCGCGGACGGCAGAGACCCTTCCAGATCCGTGCTGCTGAGGTCACTGTGGGGGGAGCGGGAAGATGGCGGGGCGTTGGTGATTTGCGCTGACTCAAAGTCAACGGACGACAGTCAACGGACGACAGTCAACGGAGCGGGGAGTGGCGGATTGGGGAGCGGGGAGACGGCGAATCAGGAAGTGGGGAGACGGCGGATTGGGGAGCGGGGAGATGGCGGATTGGGGAGCGGGGAGTGGCGGATGAGGGAGCAGGGAGAGTTGAATGACAAATGAGGTAACGCAGTTGAGTGAGAAAAACGAGGGGATAAAGTCAATCCCCCTTGCGTTATAGCTTCCCCGTTTTGTTGAAATATTGCGCGTTGCAATAGCTGGCTGAAAACTCACACGGTTGTAACAAACCCCTCCTTATCGCACGACACGCCACTCCACTTCGAGCAGTCCCAGCCATCCTGCCACGTGGCAGTGGTAACAGAGGGCCACGTGGCGGCGATTGATTGGAGCGCGGGCACTGTCCTCCAGGCGGCGGCATGGGAGGGCGGTGCAGAAGGGGAGTGGGGGGTTGCGGAGAAGGAGATTGGGGGGTGGGGGAAGTGGGTGAGGGGGGTAAGTTACGCAAAGGGCCCGTGTACCCCAAGGTTCACAATGGGGATACCCCAGTGAGCGTTACCCCTAGGACTCCGATTCTCTTGTGACAAATGTGAATGGGAGGGCGGAGACAGTTTGAAAGGGGAAGGGATGTAGGAGAGGAACAGGCATGCGTGGGAGGAGGGCGGAAGAAGCCGCAGCGCGCGGAAGAAGCCGCAGCGCGCGGAGAAGGGCGGAGAGGAGGGGAGTGGAGGCAAGGAGCAGAGAAATCTTACGTTGCGACTCGTGCACCAGTTGAGCCGACACTAGATGGTACCTCCCCCCGCAGGCTGCCACTGCTACCGTCATCGCAACCAGCAGGCGCAACAGGCGATCGAGCCAGTTCGTCAAACCCCATCTACTCGAGACCCCCCTCGATTGGACCTTAATTGCGAAGGTCCTCATTCTGAGCCGCCTCACTACCAGAGCCTGAAGCTGCCTCGATCCCCGTTGCTGATCCGCGAATGACGTCGGAAGTCGCGCCCAAAGGCACGGCCGGGGACGCGGCAAGAGGAACGGCGAGGGAGGCGGTGTCCGCGTTGCGCTTTCTACCGCGCCGCAGAGTCTGGGTGAGCGGCGGTGCTGGCGCCATGCTGCATTCGGCGATCGTCTCGGCGATCGTCTCGGCGACAATTTTCCTGGATGTAACCCTTTTGCCTGTTTCGCCAAGAATTTGCTGTCGTCTTTTACAGCATGGTGGCCAGGACGACACTTTTCTGCCATAAAGCTCTACCTGCACAGGTCGACGTGATCAGGCGTACACCAATGGCTCGCTAGCGTATCTCTCGCCAAGCGAGTGTTCGCCGCTAGAAAGCTATCATCATCATGTTACTAGAATGTTGCTTTGCTGTACAAGCCGCGGGAACGAAGTGCTGCTCTCCGAGCGGCAGACTCCGAGTCTACGACAAAGCGTTGCAAGCCCAATGCGCCTACAAGAGTTCCATATTACTCGCTCCTAAGCGGTTATTATAATCTCGTCGCCGCTTCTGCTCGCACCGTCCAGCCGACGTCGCGTTCGAGCGGCAAAGCTATTTCACTAAAGGAAAGTTTGTAGGAAGATATTTCGCTTCTGCTGAAGGAGAGTATGTAGTGCTAACGCTGAAACAACAATCGAAATCAAAATAGGTATGTCGGAGGGTCCTTCACTACTGTTAACGCGCGTCGTCACAGTGCTACAGAACGACTCGTTCTAGGAGATAGGCAGATTAGGCGGTTGGCGCTCCGCGAATGGCTATGGTGCTCGACAGGGTGGATAATGAAGCTTGCCTCCGCGATTGCTGGTAAACGGCGACAACCAGCTGAGTCTGGTCAACGCTTTTCGGAGAGTGGTATTGGAACCAGATGGGCAAGTGAACAGCGACCTGACTGGTCAACGACACTAAAATGCATTGTTCGGTCCACTTTCGTAAAAACGAGGGTCTGCTGCTCAGTGTAACGCAGGAGGGGCTTTGCTATGCCAAGGCCTGTGCCTCGGCCCGCGAAGCCGTTTATAGACGATGACGGAACGGAGCGCGTGGCCTTACTTGTTTATGCTCGTCTATTTCATACCGAGGAACGCAACTGACGGAGGGGAAAAATGCTCGACAGTCAGTCAGGGAGGAGCGTGAAGTCGAGCAGGCCCACATCCACTGCCCGTTTGCAATTGTGATTGGCAAGGAGACCAGTTCGGTTCGGACATCAGACTCTGGGTTCGCGAGATTCAAATGTCGGTGGATTGTGCGGTGCGGTATTTCTGACGAGGCGTCTGGCACAAAAATCTTGAAATTGAAGTAAAGGATTAGGAAGGGTAAATAGCAAGTAGAGAGAAAAAAAAACTCCTAGAAGAAAGAGTCAAGAGTGAAGTAAGACAAAATTGATAAGATAAAGAAACCTATGAAGAAGAGATTGAGTAAGAACGTAAAGGCTAAAAAGGTTAAGGATAAAAATAACAAACTTGAAAGGAAGATGATGAAAACATTAAAGGGAGAGAACAATTGATTGAAAGAAAGATATTGAATGGGTGATTGATGAAAAGGTAAAAGAGCTTGAAAATTAAACAAACTTGATAATGGAAACTAAGATTTGAGAAGAAATGAGACTTGATAAGAATGAAGAGGCTTTGAATAGGGAAGCTTTAATTGAGAAACTTGACAAGAGTGAAAGGAGGTGACTTGCCTTAAAGAGTCTTACTTGTCATTTTGAAGGAGCTTTGTAACTTGAAGAAGCCAAGCTTGAATTGTGAATCTTGATTGTTGGAAGGAGAGTGAGATCTAAGCTTGATTGTTGAGTAGTAGATCTTGATTGTTGAGTGGAGAAGCACCTCCAACCTTGAGTGTTGAGGTATAGATCTTGTTTATTGTGTAGAGAAGAACCTCCAAGCTTGAGTGTTGAAGGTGAAGCTTGAGTCTTGATTAGAAGAAAGTCAAAGGTTGATGTTGAGGCCTCAAAACATAAAATGCACTAGTCCAAAGGAGGTACATGATGGTCTTAAAGAGCAACCATTGATAACAATCTAGTAGAAAGACTATGAAGCATAAGCTTCTCTAGAGTTGGAGAACATGGCTATGAGCTTGGATTGGGAGAGGTTGGTGGTGAGTGGAGCCTTAGGAGTTGGGCATGAGGAGGAGGACTTCGAAGTGGCCTTGTGAAAGCTTGGAGTAGAACTTGTGGAGAGCTTAGGTAAAAACTTGCTTGAAAAGTATAAGTGAAGAATGGGGTGGACCCTTTGTTTTGTATTTGGTGGAGCTTGAGGTTGGATGAAGGAGAGGAGGAGATGAATGATTGTGATTGGTTAAGTTGGATAAGGTGGGGGTGATGAATGTGGCCTTGAAGTGAAGGCTTGGTGAGTGGGATGAACGTGGCCTTGAAATTAAGGCTTGGTGATTGGAATGAATGGGGCTTTGATTTAAGGCTTGGTAGGGAATCTTTGGATTGATTGGTGGAGTTTGGGATGAGAAGGTTAAGGAGGATTGGAGAAGATATAAGGTGGAGGATTGAAGGATTTGTATTGGGTGAAAATGGAAGTGTGCCTTGCTGATTGGAGATAAGGATGATGAAGTGGCGAATGGGTAATGTTGGTAGATGCCCTTTGCAGATTCGAATTTTGGCTGACGGGGAAAGTGTGGCGAAAATTTTCGCCACGTGAATTTTTTCCCGCCACCCTGGTGCCACGCGAGCAGCAGCAACAGTTCATTCCAACACCCCCCCGCAGTGCTGACCCTCAGAGCGAGAAGGAGCGGAAGGGACAGCAGTGGAGAAGCACTCAAGAGACTCGATCGGCATCAATCCGGCGCGGTGGCGGCCAAGAAGAAAGAGGTGCCGGGGGAGGATCTTAGTCAGGAAGTCAGCAGCCTGGTTCGTAGTGCTGCAGTAGGCCGGTGTCACAACTTTGTTCTTAATTAGCTCTCGAATGTAGTGATACTGGGTATCAATGTGCTTTGTGCGTCCATGATAGACCGGGTTCTTGCTCAAGGCGATCGCCGATGTGTTGTCAATGTGCAGAATGGTCGGCTCATGCTGGGGAAGACCCAACTCCGTCAGCAACCCTCTCAACCACACAGCCTCTCTTGCTCCTTGCGTCACAGCCATGTACTCCGCCTCCGTTGAAGATAATGCCACACAGCTTTGCGTCTTCGATTGCCAAGAAATAGCTGCTCCCGCTATCACAAACATGTAGCCTCCAGTGGACTTCCGCTTAGAAAGAGGACCTGCCCAATCCGCATCCGTGAAACCATGCAAGACACTACCATGCTCATGTCCATGAAAGAAGAGACCAAAAGATTTAGATCCGGAGAGGTAGCGCAGGACACGCTTCGCAGCGTTCAAGTGCTGAGTAGATGGCGCGGAAAGGAACCGAGAAAGCACGCCCACAGCATGAGAGAGATCTGGGCGGGTGCAGACGGATGCGTACATGAGGCTACCGACAATGCTCTGGTAAAGATTGATGTCGAGGGGGGAAAGGAGTGATGAAGGAGGTGCGTTGGAAGAAGAAGGGGATGAAGAGGATGAAGGTGCAAGAGCCTCGTGGAACTCGTCCCAGTCAGAAAAGGGTTCAGTCTGAGAGGGCTGATGGTCAGAAGTGGAAGGGGAAGAATGCTGAAAAGTAGAAGGGAGAGGTGTAGATGCATGATTGCAGGTGAGAAGGCCGAAGCGAGAGAGGACCTTGTGAATGTATCGCTCTTGGGAAAGAAATAGAGAGCGAGAAGGACGGTCACGAATGATGTTCATGCCAAGGTAATATGATGGCTCACCCATGTCTGTCATGACGAACTCCTTGGTGAGCATACCTTTGATGTGGGTGAGAAGGGAGAGAGGACTTGACACCATGAGGACTTGACAGCATACCTTGAATGATGCAGCCATGCTCTCACACATGAATGATGCAGCCATGCTCTCACACATGAATGATGCAGCCATGCTCTCACACATGAATGATGCAGCCATGCTCTCACACATGAATGATGCAGCCATGCTCTCACACATGAATGATGCAGCCATGCTCTCACACATGAATGATGCAGCCATGCTCTCACACATGAATGATGCAGCCATGCTCTCACACATGATTGATGCAGCCATGCGAGAGCACCCATGCTCACACATGCCTTGAGCACACATGCTCTCACACATGCCTTGAGCACCCATGCTCTCACACATGCCTTGAGCACCCATGCTCTCACACATGCCTAAATCACCCATGCTCTCACATGCCTTGAGCACCCATGCTCGCACATGCCTTGAGCAACTATACTACCTACCATACATGTCTCCCAACTGTTGGCCAGGCTGCAGCATTCCACGCGGCAAGTCGTCATTCAGCTTGAGGAATTGTGAGCGAGTCATGCTGAATGCTGCTGTTATGCCCTCACACAACCCTGAACAGCCACCCTCTCACACATGCCTTGAGCCTGCCATCCCCACCTGTTGCCCCGCCTTTAGCCGTCCACACGGCAGGTCGTCGTTCAGCTTGAGGAATTCCGAGCGAGTCATGCTGAATGCTGCTGCAATGCTCTCACACGTGTCATCCTGCCATTGGTCGCACGCACAGAAGCGAATGGCGTGAGGGATCCCTAACCAGCAGAAACCAGCTGTGTCAGACTGCCGATCGAGCAAGCATCTCCGCAAGCATGGCAAGGCTTGTGAGGCGCCTCAACAGAAGCAAACGGCGTGAGGGATCCCTAACCAGCATAAGGGATCAAGCGTGCATCTCTACAAGCACGGATTGAGCATTTCAGCATCAAGTATAGCTAATGCGGATCAAGTGCGGCGAACTGATGTTCTGTGGGATCACAGTAGTGATAGTATAGGGAGTAATCTTGAGCTTACGACAGTGACAGTAGAGAGAGTGGCCTTGGACTTACAGCGGTGACAGTATAGGGA